TATATATATATATATATATATATATATATATTATTGCTTCATGAAGATGATCGTTGCAAATCCTTGAGTATCTCTCATAGGTTTGCTTCGTCTGTCTTCATGTTCGTTCCTTTTGGAGAGAAGTGTCCTTTGGTGCATTAAATGCTTTCACTAAATAGTCACTTCTTATCTAAACAAGGAAGCTAATTATCACCTTTTAGGTACTGAACAAGTAGAGTTATGCATGTGTCAGTTCAAAACAACTTTTTTTTAAAGATTTCTGTGATTCACGAGATCTGCTTATCTTTTTCTAACAAAAAACATGTCTCCCTTCTCTTTTATCATTGGGGGTATTGAGGTAATTATTTTTCTTTTATTTGTTAAGGAATATTATATACAAAGATTGATTAATTATTAGACATCATAAATACTATTAATTTAGAGCAAATACCTTGCAATTGAAGTATTTCGTCTGTTAGACACTTATGTTAAGAAAACGAATTGTCTTAGTGTATTTGTCTTTCAGAGAGCTTTCATCTTATGACTTAAAAATCTTTTCTTCATATAAAAATATTTGTATTTGTTATCATTAAAACCGTATGACTAAGGGATCTAAGATCGTCTTTTGACCTAATAATACTTTTATATGTTGTTAGACTTAAAAATCAATCCCTATATATTAAACTCGAATGTTTTTCTTGCGCAATAGTGTTTTTAGGGACTTCTTTTTACCGAGAATTTTTAAGAATTTTTCTATCCATTTATCTATTTCAATTTTTCTTTACCATATTTAAATTAAATTATAATAATCTTAAAATAAACAAATATTTATATATTAAATACAATTATCTTGTGCAAAAGCGCCCACGTTTTATGAATTACTCTTTAACGATAGGATTTTTAGAAGATTTTTTAATTTCTAATCTTTTCAAATTTTTATTATTTATTTATAAATTATTTTTTATATGTTTAAAATAAATTATCAATAATTAAAATAATTTGGTATGGTAATATAAATTATATAACATAAATTTAAAATCTAATTTATATATTTACTCTTATATATTAAATACGAATGAGTATCTTGTCTAATAGTATTTTTAGAAATTTTTTTATCAGCTTTTATATATTAAACACAAACATTTTTCTTGAACAAGAGTATTTAAGGAACATCTCTCTAATAAGAAAACTTTTAGAGATTTTTCTAACCTTTTATCTATTACAAATTTTATTTATTATATTTAATTATAACTTAAATTTTAATAATTTTAACATAAATAAACTTTTATTTAATAAAAATTATTATCTTATGTGAAAACGTACACTTTTTAAGGACTTATTTCTAATAAGAGAGTTTTTAAAATTTCTTCTTGTTTCCGTGGATATGGAAGGCGTAATGGAGAACGTAGGAGAAAGTCTGTTCGTGGGTGCATTGTCAGCCCAGATCTCTCTGTTCTGAACCTTGTAATTGTGAAGAAGGGTGAGAATGATTTACCAGGACTGACTGATGTTGAGAAGCCAAGGATGAGAGGTCCTAAGAGAGCATCCAAAATTCGTAAATTGTTCAACCTGTCTAAGGAGGATGATGTGAGGAAGTATGTTAACACCTATCGTCGGACATTTACGACAAAAGCTGGTAAAATTTCTGGTGCTTTGAATTTTTGTATCTGCTTGATTTAAAAGTGTCTAAAATATAGAAATAGATTATGTTAATGAAAGAACAATATGAAATTTAAGGCTGTAGCTAACTATAAATCTGTTGACAACTTGACCAGATTTTGCAAGTGTCATGTTACAAATCTTTGATGGTGGTACGGTTCCCATAGTTGTTTTGTTAAGTGAATGTTGGTGCATGTCTGTATGATGAACCTATTTGTGGCTCATGCATGATTAATATTGGTTGATTTGCAGTATTATTCCTTTGATATTTTCTAAAATTGTACAGCAAAATGACTTGTGTAAAAGGAAATTTGTTGCTTGCCTTCATTTGTTGTATTAAAAGGCCTTTTTTATTATTGATTATTGAAATTGTGTTTTTTGATAGATTCTTACGGTGATGTTTGTTTCATGTAACTGAATATACATCTTTTGATAAAGCCTGTGGTGTTTGCCTGACTTGTTCCTCTGAAAATATGTATAGGGTCAAATTGGTGTCTCTTTCAAATTGGTAATCGCCTATATGTATTCGTTCTATGTGCATTCGTTGCTTAATTTTGCTTTGTGATTTTTTATTCTGCAGTTCAACATTGCGAACCCCACCACTGGGTGCCAGAAGAAGCTCGAGATCGATGACGATCAGAAATTGTAGTCTCTTCACTTTTGTTTATTTATTTATTAAATTTATTAAATTATTTCTTATTTTTACAGGTTGGTGTCTGTCTGTGCTTTGCTTTGAAAAGAAAATAATTCATTTAGTTAAGAAACTCAGAAAAGATGAATCACAATACAACTAATGCATTCACCCTTGGATTTTTTTATCCCTTTTATTTTGGGATATGTTAAACCAATCCTAGGGGTTTTCTTAAGTTTTAGCACTAGCTGAACACTGATGTTAGACTTCAACAAAACTATAGAAGTAAAGCGTTTAATATGTAAATTAATTTATATCACTAGCCAGAGCCAATAATTAATATGTAAATTAATTTGTAATAACATGTTTTAAGAAAAAAGTATCATGATTTTGTTTTCTGAAAAAATTTCTAATAAGTAAAGTTATATATCAATCACCCAAATGTTGTACTTCACTGTAACATTGTGCTTGACTGAGGAATTGAGGAGAGGGATGGTAGACACCTTTTTTTACTTGTTCTGTTGTAAAAATTTGTGACATATTGTCAAAGAGCAAATTATATATTATTTGCACTGTGCACATCAACTTTTTTTTCTTTTTATTTTTGGTGTATCATAACCTTTTGATGTTCGTGAATGATTCAGAATTACCGATAAATTATTATCTTTCTTCTCTATATCTGAAATTTAAAGTGTTGGATGAATCACCCATCTCACAGTATTGCCACACGCCTGCACCACTGAATTCCAAATGATTTGTTCCGAAGGAGCTCATTTTATATGTTCTTTGGGAAATGTCGGGAAATGTGACTTGTCTTCCTATTACAATAATCTTAACTTTTAATTGCAGACGAGCATTTTGGGACAAGAGGATCTCACAGGAGGTTAGTGGAGATGCACTTGGTGAGGTATACTCTTTAGCTGCAAACCTTGAATGTCTGCTCCAAATTTTTGCAGAGTTTTAATGATTATATATTCACCTTTATACCTGTTGCCAACAGGAATTTAAAGGCTATCTTTTCAAAATCACTGGAGGTTGTGACAAGCAAGGATTCCCGATGAAGCAGGGAGTGCTGACCCCTGGTCGTGTTCGACTGTTGCTTCACAGGGGTGGGTCTTTTGTTTAGCTTCAATGCCTTTTTTGGTTCAACCTATTTGTTCTACTTTGTACTGTGCTCTTGTTATATATTAATATTTTAAAATTGATTTTGCTTTTTTGCCTTATTTTTTGAAGAACTTCAATGTTTTAGTAATATAATATGTAATATATCTTTTATATCAGAAGTCTCATCATCTTTTTTGCCAACACTAATAGTTTTTATTCGTTACTTGAACAGGAACTCCTTGTTTCCGTGGATATGGAAGGCGTAATGGAGAACGTAGGAGAAAGTCTGTTCGTGGGGGCATTGTCAGCCCCGGTCTCTCC